TCAAGTTAGTGCAGTCAGGCAGGGGAAGATGTGGAAAGAGATGCAACAACATGTGAGCAGCATTTAAGAGTTTGTTGCATCAAGAGGGACTAGCTTTTCGGAGGATATATGATGTTGACGTTGCTCATGGGCTCTTTGTAACAATTTGCCCTTTTCATGAATGGAAGGCATCTCCTACAACACTCCACTTGCCTACGTTGGATTTCTTGTATGCCACCCAGCCAAAAATGAAGTACTCCATTATGGGCTATTTTCAAATAATGACTTACAGATTCTTTGAGATCATTCTGGGTCATTTCCCCAAGATCCACTGCACAAGCCCTCATACACAAGGACCAGCTTTTGAAATGGTTGCAACTTTGAAAGCGATCACTATATCCAACAAATCTCTGGCAAGATTTGAGAAGGTGTGGCCTCTCATAGTTGCTTATAGGCCTATGTGCAAATTCATTCCGTTGGTTGCCTGCTGGAGTCTCCTGATATGCCCCAGCTTCGGGACGTCTCCGCTGGGCGGACGCGGCGGACTCGGCTCGGCACGGCAGCGGCAGGACCTCGCCGCAGCTCCTAGCGGCGCTGCATGCGCCGCTGCCCTCCACGGTGGTGTTCCGCCAGGCGGGTTGGTTGGGGTGGGACCTGGGAGGGAGGGGCGGTGGCGTGAGGGACCTGGGAGGGAGGGGGAGGGGCTGTGGTGGGAAGGAGGTGGGAAGGAGGTGGGAAGGAGGTGGGAAGGAGGTGGGAAGGAGGTGGGAAGGAGGTGGGAAGGAGTTGCGTTGCTTGTTTTTCTCCAGGCCTGGACATGGAGAATCGTATGTATCGGCCTGTACTGGCCGATCCATGAACAGGATACCCAGGTGAGATGGGGCATCCAAGCCCCTTCTTGTTGGTGTCTAAACCTAAAGCTACACGCCCTTGTCCTTTCTTTACTCGTCTCTCAACTTGCTGCTTGGGACATGCAGGGCTCGCACAACATTTTAGCAACAAAGCACAACAGCAGGTGTTACTCAACCATGTCCTCTTGAAAGGGGAGCGAACCACTGTGCCCGCAGCTGTGTGATTGGCAGGCCGCCAAACTTGTGGTGTTGAGCTCTGGCAACGAAGAGGGTGATGGCCTGTTGCTGGTTCACAACAAGATGTCTTGAATTCTAGCAATTTCTATTTGGCCCAGTGTCTAGAAAACGGTTTGGATGCGCTTCTTGGTGGGATCCCACCTGTCCTTCTCCCTCTATGTGGTACTTAGAGGCTGGACCGACTAAGAGCCCCAGACCGGAGACGGGCCCCCAAATGCCCAGGCAGCCAAGGCGTTGGAGCTGGACGAGCTGCAGGTCTTGCCAGAGCTGCTGCAAAGGCCCTGAGACTGTGACCAGAAGTGGCCTTCCCGTCGGAACCCGAGAGGTCCATGCAAAATCTGCCTATGGCGACTCGGGGGGAAGAACCAGCTCACCATGATAAAGGTCCTTTACTTGGGGATCCCTTAGTTCAGCTTTTGGAGTAAAAACAAATGTAGAATTCAAATAATGTTTCCAGAAGACCCCAATCAGGTTCCCTGTTGGTCATGGCGGCGATCCAACAAATCTCAAACCATGTTTATTTTTGTTGAAAGGAGACAATTCATAGAGGTGTCAGCCGGGAATTCCGAGGGAGTGTGGGAGCAGCATGGAGCAGCTCATTCAAACCAGCGGCATCAGGCTTATAGAATGGACGCTGCCTCTGTTTTTTTTTTTGGGGGGGTTCCCGTAGCTTGTTGTTAGCTATGCTCCCGTCCAACAGCAGCCTTTTGTTTTTTTCCTGCGCCGCGACGGAGCGGAGAAACGTCGTTTCCTCCGGGCTTGCTCCCGGAAGCAAACACTCAGGCGAATTACAAGCACTGCAAGAGTGGCGCTTCAGTTCCAGTTTTGGAGGAACTCCGAAGAGTCTGTCAAGTTCGCGGTTCATTTCCAGAGTTTGATATGGCGCATCAGATGGGGCCAGGTTGGTGGCCTGGTTTCGCAGCACTGATCAGCAAGGGGGCCCAGAAGAGAGCTCTTCCAGAGCTTATACCTGGGGTGCGGGATGAGGGTGATGGCCCACTTTGCCAGGCTTTTGATAGCTTTAGTCTGTCCGGAGAGAGCGCCGCCACTGTGCGGCCTATGATTGTTGTGGTTTTGGCCGAATAGAAACCACGTGAGTATCAGCTTTACAATGGAAGGATCTCTACCGTCCCTGTTGACCGTGATCTGGATGTTCGGCACACGACTCATTTGCAACAGGCAGGACTGAGACCTGACACACAATGGCACTTGCAAAAACCATCACAGCTGAGCACACAACCTGTTTGCCACCGCGGCTCCGAGCCACGCCAAGCCGGATCATTCCTTGCTAGTATCGGCTGGCTGCTCGCGCAAGGTGCCTAGTGGCATCAGCCCAGAGGTCCCTGGCAGAGGCCCGGACCTCGTCGGGCGGTGCAACAGTTTGGATGGGATTTGGTTGGAAGAAGGGGAGAACAGATTGCGCGCGGTACGGCATCAAGCTCGCAATCAGTTCTCCCTTTTTCCACGAAGGGAAAAGGCTGCGAAACCAGTGGTACCCTTCTTCCCTTTTTGTTTGGTGCACAAAAAGTGGTCAACCCCAAAACAGGGGTTTCCTTTTTCTACCAGGTCACTGGACAGGGAGACCAAAGCGTCCGGGTCTCGTCCAGCCGTGCACGGATGACGCGGAGGCCCCGGGGCACAGGGCCCTGGTGGGGGCCATGCAGCGTGGCCTGAGCTTGCAGGGCGCCCAGTCAGGAAGCTTGTGGGCATACGATGGATGGAAAGAGACGAATGTGATGGCTTCATGGATTTTGTCTGCAGGATTTGGCTTCGTTCATCCCTGGTGCTTCATGGATTTGGTCTTTCCAGGGCCAGTTTGGTTCACCATAGATTGATTCCACTGGTTTCAGTTTGGTGCGAATCATCTGCCAGTGCCATCCAAAAGGACACCTGGGGAAGCAATCTCGGCCACTTACAAAGGTACCTGCTCGATTCAGGCCCCTTGTTCCAACTAGTTTGTTGCTGGACTACAGCAAGAAGGGCGGGGGAGTGGCTGCTTCGAGTCCTGGACATTCTTCTCCATGCATCGGGTACAAATGGGCCAACGTAGATTTTTCAGCCACGCATGCCATGCGCGCCACGAGCGAGAAAAGAGGAGCGCTTTCAAAATCAGGCATCCCCGCCGCACAAATGGTAGAATCCGGAAAACCTCCTCCTTGACTTAATCTGTCTCTCTCCCTCCCTCTCTCTCTCTCTCTTAGATGTAAGGCACACAAGCAAACAATCAAACAACAACAGAGCTCTTTGAACGCTATATGGTGGTTTTTCCCATCTGTGGGGGCAGCCCCTTTCCTAAGTCACAAGGCCAAGTAGGCCAAAGCGTGCCCCGTGTGAGGCCGGAGCTCTGCCATTTGGTGCTGCAGGTGGTGGGCCGCAGCTGCCGGCACCATGTGGAGAATGCTCGGCCGCCCAAAGGGGGCCAAAGGGGTCGGGCTGAGGCGCGACAAGAGAGGGAAGCCGCAAATGGCGCGGTCAGGCGAAGCTGGGCTCCTTGGAAGATATTCCAATTTGGCGCCAAAAGGAAGCGACCATCTTGGTGGCAACGTTGGGGTGGATAATGCAAGACCCCTAGTAAAAGGGGACTCAGTTGCTGTCGATCAAACAAATCCGGCTCAATGCTGGATGAGAGAGACCAAACACGAGCTGGGATCAGGGATTGAACCTGAGTGAGCTTCACATATGCAGCAACTTAGTTTGAAGGTTCTCTGAACGTATGATTGGCATTAATTGTCCTTTCTTCTTATCAGCCACGGAGTGCTTGGAACCTTTGCAGTGCAAGGCTGCAGCCTTCGTACAAGCTGGTGCCGCCAAGCAAGTTTGCCTGGTTTTGGAGAGGCTGGAAGTTGGTGGTAGGATCCAAACAGTCAGAGCTTTGCAAAGCATCAAGCGCCCTAATTATCCATGCTTCAATCAAGCTTCTCAAGACATAAACGCCCGAGATCTGAACACCCTCTCTTGGGATTTGATGCCACAAGAAGTAGAACCACCATGACGAGGAAGATGACACTAAGTTGATCCACCTGCGTATGCCCTAATGTCTGAGACCACCTGATTTTTCTGTTTCAAAGGGAGCCGAAAGTCGCCATTTGGAGCCCCCACCCAATCTTAGGAAACATCCGTCAAAGTCAGCTTCCAGATGCGGGTTGTGGGTCCAAAATCGTTTTTGAACCTTCAAACATGAGTTACGTGTCAAACTCCGGGAACCTCAAAGATGGCGGTTTTCCTTGTTGTTTCCCCCAACACCAAGCTGCAAAGGCCAAACCAAGAGCGAGCCGCTCGCCTGGTAGGCACCAGGGCCACAAGGAGTTGCAGCGCCATGGGCGCGGGGCCTCGAGGGCCGGCAAGGCCATAAACTTGCTGGTGCGATAGGCAGGGAAGGAGAAATGCAATGACCCCCAAAAAAGCCATCACTTGCTCCTTTAAGGGAATCCCCAGATTTATTCTCTCATTCCCTGAGCACCAGCAAGTGAAAGGTACAACCAATTCGGTCACACACCGCGTTTTTCTTTTAGTCCTGGAGGAGTCAAACGAGTGGGGTGCGCTCTTGGATCGGAGGTGAATATTCAGGCTGAATACCTTCAGCAGTCCAATCTATCCCACCCTCAGAATCTTGGCCTTGGCCTTCAGTTGGTTGCACCTCTCTGAAGCCCGGATACAAGCAGCGATGCGGAAGTCTGGAAAGGGATTGCGGAAAGCCTCCTTGACTCCACCATCAGATGCGAATCACCATTCCTTCATCCACAAGCTAGAATAGGTGACGTGTGTTCGGCAGCTTTCTGCGGCATGAGTCACTCGAGGCCCGCACAATCTCTGCCGCTCGTTCGCTCGTGGCCTTTGTTTCAGCCCGCCTGTCCGACCGAACCTGCAAGGCTCTATGCGCTGGCATGTCTTGCCCACTATGGTGGCCGGTGAGCTCAGGGTCCGTAGGGCTTGGGTGCTTGGGGTCCAGCTCCAGTCTTGAGTCCAGCCAATTTCTGATTCGCCAACAGCTGGCCCATGAGTCAAGTGTCAGATCTCACTGACGTCTTTTTTCCCACATGCTCGGTTAGCTTGCGTGCGTGAGGTGTCTGCCTTCAAACCCGGCCAGGTTTGTTTTTTTCGTACTTGCATGCCACCTTGTCGCCCTTCTACTTGATGTGCTGCTCCCCTAGATGTTGTCTCATCCGTGTTGCCTGCAAGGCCTTGCACCCAGACAGACGAGATACGAAGCACTGTCGCAGAAATATCGTTCAAACAGAGTCGATTTGGCGTGCATGCGCAATGCGACTTTGCACGACTCTTGGACAAACAGGCTCAGCTTTCTGCTTGGACGCGGCAGAACTGGAGAAGCACCTCATTTCGGACCAAGGCTATCGTGCATCTTTGCGGGTGGACACATGCGCTCAACCAAAGGAGGAGGCATTTTTTTATGAAGACTCAATGAAGACTCGCTTGGCATATCAAACTACCAATCAATTGGAAGCAGGAGATAGAACAGCCTTATTCTTTGCAATCTCTGATTAGTGGAATGGTTGACTGGGACAGGGTACATTGGAAAGCATCCACTGATAGTCAGGCTTCGCGATCGGTACTCACAAACTGAAAAATATGTTGGAAGTGGCTTCTTCTGCTTTTTTGGTTCGGTTGCGAGCCTTCATGTTGCCATGTGGTGCTGCAAGCACAGGCGGGACCGGGAGGGTACAGAGTAAGGGCACGCGCTTATGACCACTGAAAAGTGCTGCGCAGGGTTGCCGCGAGACCGCCTTTGAAGACGACTGAATTGGAGAAATCAGTCGGCCCCTAACAAGTGCAGGTTTCCTTCTCCCACCAAATGTGCAAAAACTGGGACCCAGAAATTGCCCAGAATGCAGCTGACAACAGGGTACTGACAACTGCCAATGACGTCAAAATCAGTCCAGGATTTCCTTTCTGATGGCTCTGAACCACAATCTGACCGACATCATGGTCTACTTGCTCCTGCTCGGAGTAGCCATTCTTGTTTCTGGTGGCCACCTTTCTCTTCGGATTTGGATATGGCCAGGCCATAGCACCAAAGCAAGAACAACCCAATTGCTTCTGATTGCTTTATGTCTTTGACACAGGTTTGCTGGACCCTCTTACTCCCCGAAAGCAAATCCATGGAATTGCACACACACACACACACATCTCCCGGTAAATACGCGTTGCACTAGCTAAACTTGGAGTACCCGACTCAAACTTCACAAGCAGCTTTTCTCTCCAGGCGTCCAAACGCTGCCCCGCTGCTGGCGCCGAGCAACAAGCCGCCGAGCGAAAAGCCGCGGCAGCAGCAAGAGGGGCGGAGCCTTGGATGTTCGCATTGAATGGAGAGGGGGCTGGTAGGTGTGGCACTGAAACTGACAGGGAGGGGAAGATTGGGAAATAGGCACGCATGTTGCTGTTTATAATTTGGGCAAGCCGTTGCCCTGCCAAAAAATCTTACCAATCTTGCCGGCGCCGATTGTCTCTGGGCGCGGCAGGGTAACAACAAAACAGCAGGCCATAGCCAGAAGCAATTTCAATCGTCGAATCGTCCGCCACGAAGCAGCGGCCAAAGCTCAGAGAGCGAAGGGAGAGAGCGACGCGAATCAGCTCGTCGGCCTCGGCTCGAGCCGAGGATGTGTCCCATCACCGGCCTCGAAGGCCAGCGAAGATACATGAGGCTTGATCCATATTCCATTTAGGGCCAAATATGACGATGGGCAACTTTTCCGATTCGATGGGAAGTATCTTCTTAGTGGTTCTCCCCAATGGTCGTCCCATGTATTTCGGACCTTTTGATCGACCTCCACATGACAGCCGCTGTCTTCTGGATTTGTTACGGCGGATGGGACGTGTGGATCGGATTTTTTCAGATGGGTTCCTCGCCGAGCTTAATGGTGGTGTCCATGGGCCAGGCGTTTGCCCCATGGCGAGGAAGCCGCAGCTCAAGGAAGGCGAGAAGCCTCCGGAGCTGAAGGTGTTGATGTTCCTCATGTGGGAGGCCCGCGCCCGGGGGGCGTGGGGTTGGGCTTGGAGGGACTGTTGTGACAGTTGTTGGTAAGGTGACGGCCGTTTCTGTTCAAGGGGTGACTGTGTGCTTTTCGCATGCCCGCCATTTGTGCACTTGACACAAAGTGATGACTCTCTCCTTGGCGACCCATCGAGGGTTGAACACGTTTCGCCAGGAGGGCGAGTCCAAGGTGAGCGCTGCAGCCTTAGCATTGGGCACGATCAACGGCCACCTTATGTTCTTTTGGTTCAAAGGAAGCAGCCCAAGCAAAGGCAAATCACGAGATTTTGGGTGGCTGAGGATGGCTTGTTTGGGCCAGAAATGACTGGCTGAGTTTGTACACCCTATATTGCTTAAATCTCTCTCCCTCTCTCCTTTCTCCCCCTCTCTCTCCCCCTTTCTCTCTCCCTCTCTCTCCTCTCTCTCCCCTCTCTCCCTCTCTCTCCTCTCTCTCCCCCTCTCTCCCCCTCTCTCCCCCTCTCTCCCTCTCTCTCTCCCCTCTCTCTCTCCTCTCTCTCCCCCTCTCTCTCTCTCCCCCTCTCTCTCCCCCTCTCTCGCCCCCTCTCTCTCCCCCTCTCTCCTTCTCTCACTCTCTCTCTCCTCTCTTTTTCTCTTTTTCTCTTTTTCTCTTTTTCTCTTTTTCTCTTTTTCTCTCCCTCTCTCTCCTTCTCTCTCTCCTCCTCTCTATCCTCCTCTTTCTCCTTCTCTCTCTCACTCCTTCTCTCTCTCTCTCTCTCTGTGTTGCTCTCCATCCATCGCCCATCCTTTGTGCTCCGATGTCAATGTTTGTTGTTTTTTCCTGAATGTCTTCGAGAAGGCGACCATGTTCTGGGCTCGGCGGATTCGTCCATCTTTTCTCCGCATCTACACCCTCCATTTGCTCCATTTGCAAGGTGCCCTCCCGTTGTCTGAGTTGGCAACATCTAAGGTGGCAGGTGCTCTGGTCCTATCTAATTCGGTGGCCCCAAAGCTCGTCTTATAGAATGAGCAGCGAAGAGCGGAAATCCACTCATTTCCACTAGACTGGGGAGGGAAGGGTAATGAAACGAGCGACCTTTATTTTCAAACATTTTTTGCAATTTGAAGGAGAATGACACTGGACATCGGTAGGAAATGCTGCACGCATTTGCACGCGAGGTTGGGGTGTATCCACACCAAAGCTGCTTGCCTTGATACCAGCGGGGGGGGGGGGGGAGTGCACGGAGGACACGCTTCTCCAAACGTGGCTGCAAGCCTCAACAAGGTAGGCCCCTGTTTTGAACGGGTTTCAGAAGGACACCGAAAGGAAGCTGCCCGTCTGCTGTGGGCGTTACTATTTGCCCGTAGGCTTTGCAGGCCTCTGCTCAAAAATCATTGCTTGGCTTCCCCTCTTTGTTACGCCCATGTTTGAATACATAGCCATTTGAGGGCTGTCCAAAATCCAGTCGTTCTCTAATGGTTCTGGGTATCGTCTGGTGATTGACACCAAGCACAGGATTTTGTTCATGGAAGTTTCGCAGTTTAAAACTAGCTGATTTGACATTTAGTCTCAACATGTTGTGTTGTGTGTCTGCGCCGAAGCTTCGCGGAAGCTTAGGGAAACAATTCTACAAATGTGGACAAACTCCAGGGAAGCCAATGGCCACGGAAGCCCTTCACTACGAAAAGCACATTCCGAGCCGTCTTTTTTCTGAGCATGTTTGAAATGGCAGCGGCCAGCACTAAGAAGCATGCGACACACGTTATCTTTCTCAGAAAACATAATGGACACATGGAAAAGCCGCAACAAGAAGCATGGGACAACATTGTCATTCTGGCAACTTCTCAGAAGAAGTAATGGAGAAGCCGCTATGTGAGTCGTCGCCTTGAGGTCAGCACTGGGAAGCCCTGCAACTACCGGACACCACACGCAAGGAACAGATCAAGGCGCTTTCTTGCCGCCTGCCGCCGGACGTCGTTGGATACCTCGGGGCTTTTGTCCTCTGGCAGTTGATTGGTAGACTGACGTGGTGTCTGTTTTGAGACGAAAGCCACTCAGAAATGTCTTTGGAGTGCTTTTGCAATACTGGTAACGAAGGACAATAATGTTGCCATTGCTCAGCGAGATAGATCAGACCGTCATTGATCTTGTGAGAAGCTAGACAGTTTCGAAGCAGACAGTGGTGGTTTGAGACCCTCAAAGCCATACTGTCTTCAGACGCCATCAATGCTATAGACCGCCAACAGTGGAAGCGCTGGACAGGCTCAGTACCGAAAGCTGTCAGTGAAGTACCATCCTGACAAGAACAAGGAGGATGCTTGGATGCCTTGGCTAGTGGTCCGCATGGGGAGGTTCTCTGCTACCCTTGAGCCGCCCTGTGAACCAAAGCGACCCAAGGCGTCTCACAGAATGGCCGCAAGGTACCAAAAGAATCACCCCCCAGAAATTGAACTGACAGCAGCCTCCATTCTATAAGATAATCAGTCAAGAAACGAACAATTCAACTCATACCTCACCACTTCGAACCATCCCCACCCAGATTAATGTCGCCGTTTTTCTTTCTCGGCAGCTTTTCCTGCCGAGTTTTCCCACCGGTTGTTTTGCATTTTGTCTGGTGCATGGTTGCTGCATGCTCCCTTGGAGGTCACTGTTGGATCCCCCTGTGCAGGTTTGCTGGGTTTGGTTTCAACGCAGCACCCATGCGGGGGCGGCTCCTTCCCAAACAACAAACATGCCCAAGCTGTTGGAAGCACTTGTGCTTGTGCTGGTTGGGTATTTTCCATGGTGCAAGGGTTGTAATAGGCCTCAGTTGGCACCCAGGAGGGCGCCAAGGAGCGGTTCCAGCGCATCACGGAGGCCTATGAGGCCCTGAAGGACCGGCTCCGAGGGCGCTTGAAAGCTGCGAGGCGCCTACCAACTGGTCTGTGGGAAACGTTAGAAGGTTGTCAAGAAACGCTGATGGCAAGTGTAGTGAGGCCCATTTGAGACCATTGCAACATTTTGGTAGCCTCAAAATGAATTGGTCTTGAGTGCTGTTCACTTGGCTTTCGTCGCCCGGTGAGTGATGATTCGATTGCCAGGAAGGCTCCAGCATTTAAGGCTACGTGCGCAGCACCGCGCGATTTGTTTCCTTGAGCCACGGTTTGAAGTGCGACCGTGTTGTCCAACGGTTTCACACTCCCCCAGGATGCTTCGCATCCACAAGCTTCTCGCGGCTGGCTCGGGACGGCAGGCTCCTAAAAGGCTACTATGCCATCACCGCCTGTCCCCGCCCTCAAGCACCTTCTTGATCTCCTCCGCTTCCAGCGCCGTTCCCGCCGCCCGGCTCGAGCTCGACCCAGCCTCACCATGCGGCTCAGCTTTCGCTGCCTCGCCCGATCCGGTTGCAGGGTCAGACACCTCCACCTCGCTCGAGCTTGATGCTGCACCAAGCAAAGTGATCGGCCCAGCTACCGCCGCCCGATCCATGTATTGACCTCGCTGACGCACCCCTGCCGCCGTTCGATCATGCCGTAGGTCATCTTGCTCTCCTTGCCCATGCCCAGCTTCTTGTTCTCCTTGCCCCTGACCGGCTTCCCCCGGCCTAGGGTTCCATCCACCTTCATGCCAGAGCGGGCTGTGAAGTCCATGAAGAGGGACTCCCCGATTTCTTGCTTCCAGAACCACCCATCTTTCCTCAGAGCTGCTCCATCTTGCGGTAGTACTCCATGCGCTCTGTGCCCAAGACTGCCCTTGACTGCCCTCACTGGTTGTTTAATTCCAGCACCATCGCGCACATGGCACACTACAACCAAATCTTCATCCTGGAGACTTACGCGCCCTAATCGACTGGGGTGCCTGCTTAGGCAAAGGTATTCCCGGCCAAGGCAGGGTCCTCGTCCGTTCGGTCCTTTCCTGGTCCCTGGTCTCTTGGACTGCCGGTAGTCCTTCCCCCCAGGAAACCCTTTCCAGACCCTTCAAACTCTGTCCCACAAGTGGGGCCGCTTCCCGCAGTCTCTTTCGGTGGGCTCTGAGCCTCTGCTTGCGGTTTTTTTCTTTCTTGACTGGGTTCTTCAACCGGTCCTTTTACTTTCTCAACTCTTGTCCCACACGCCTTCTTGGTGATCTCCCAAACCACCGCCAAGACTGCCACCACCGTGAGGATCAGTTCCACCGGAATTGCCTCCTCCTCTATCTCCACTTCATCCTCAGCCATTGCCCCCGCCGCCAGACTGGACTGAGCATGCCAATCACCGCCTTCAACTTATTTACCACCAGCCATCCCATAACCTTCCTATCCTCCAAGACGTCCAGGCCCATTCCTCTCCTGCACTTCTCAAACTGGGTCTTGGCCAGCGGCTTCGTGAGACCATCCGCCGCCAGAAGTCCCTGGAAGGTGTCTCAACCGCCAGTCCTCCTCTTCGATGAGCTCCGTCAGCCGGCCCTGCACTTCAAATGCCTCGACTGCCACGCACACGCTGGAGTGGCGATGATACTAATGGCCGCCGCATTGTCACCCAAGATCATCTTCTTGACCTTCTTGCCTTCCAACATCTCCACCAACGATGACATTGCCTCTCCGATGGCCGTGGCCTGCACATAGCCCGTGAGCTCTGCCTCTGCTGTGGACATCGTTGTGTACGCCTGTCTCGTGGATTCCCATGCTATGATACCGCCACCATACATCACCATGACGCCCTGAATGGACCGGCCTCCACCTGGCGCGAAGCTCACATCTGCTTGAATTTCCAATGTGCCCATCTCATGAGGACCAGGAAACTCCGCTTCCCCATCTCTAGGCTTCATCTCATTCTTGTAGATGATGCCCACTTCGTCCGTCCCCTTCAAATAGCCCAGGATTTGCTTTGCCGCCCGCAACGCCTGCTTTGGATTCCTAGCCACCATCCTCGACGCCTGACCCACTGCAAACGCCACATCCGGCCTTGTCCGAGTCGAAACCCAAAGCAATTCTCCCAGGGCCACCTGCGCCTCACGGACGTCATCTGCTGTCCTGTCCTCCTCTTCTTCTTCGGCCAGCTCCGCCTTCACCGCCGGCACTTCCAGGTTCTTCACCTCGGGGTGTCTTCCCACCAGGTCACGGATGTATGCCGACTGACCCAACCAGAATCCCCCATCCTTCTCACAGATTTCCATGCCACAAAACGTGACCGGAGTGCCTCCATTCACCACTTCCGGGGAGAATGTCTTCCACTCCTGCTGAAGTCGCTGCATGAAGCCATTCATGACGCCCTCCTTGGCCGTCACCAGCATATCGTCCACATACACCACGATGTTCCCCACCGTGACTCCGGACTCCACCTCCTTGATTGCCCATAGATTGCCCTCCAGCGGGTAAATCCTGAACTCCACCTCGTTGACCCGCCAACCGAAGTTTGCCATGGTCTTATCCCTATGGCAACCCCAGTCCTTGGGGCTTGTATTCAGCCCATACAGTGCCTTGAGCACCAGCCAACGTTCTCCTTCCTTGGTGATCCCAGCCTGCCCGAAGATCTTGGGCGGAGTCACCACGAAAAGCTTCTGCCTCTGATTTGGTGCTTGCAGGAAAGCCGTCTTCACGTCCACCGTTCCGACCTTCCACTGCTCAAACGCCGCCTTGCGGAGAGTGGCCCGCAAAGCTATGCTGTCCGCACCTCCAGCGAACACCTCCTCCTTTGTTTCCTTCCCCGACAACTGGTTCCCGCAGACCACCGCGCGGACCTTTCTTCTTCCTGATCCTGCCTTCCTGGTGAATACGCCCTTGCCAGTCGCCACCTCTACCTCCGCGTGCTTCATGAATTCCTCCGCTTCCGCCGCCGACAACGGCTTTATCGCCTGCGTCTCGGCCGTGAGCGACACGTACTCCTCCGCAATGGCCTCCTTCCACAACTCCAATTCTCCTCTTTGCAGGAACTCCTCTTCTAACCTCTGAACCGCCTTGATCACTCGCCTTTCTTCCCCTTCAAGGCGCCTGAGCATCTCTTTCAGCCTTCCAACGTCCTTGGCGATCTTTTTGGTCCACTCCAACTGCCACTGCTCGACTTCTTCTCCACTGAGCAGAGGTATGAGCCACCTGACCCCTGCATTAGGCGCTCGGGAGAAATCTCTTTCGGCCACCCCGATAATCATCTCTGCCTCAACTGCTCCCTCCAGCTCCTCAATCGCCTTTGCCATCCTGGCTGCTGAAGCTACTTCTTCTGGAGCTGCCACTGCCGGAGCTGCTGCTGCTGCTGCTGGAGCCCAACCTGGTGCAAGAACTGCCTCTGCCCCAACCTCCCCCCGGGCCGCCCAGGTAACCACCACCGCAGATGCTCGCACAAAGCAGCCATCCTCGCACTCCACGTAGCTGTGCCATATCCTTTGATGGTCGCCATACCTGCACCGGCTCAAACTTCTGGGGCCAATCCCTATTCTTTCTCCATCGCTTGACCTTCACCATTGCCCGCTGCCAAACGGTACAAGCGGAAGCTGCGGAACCCCTAGAGCCCGCATTTGACTTCTCCACCTCATTTCCGCCGCGTGCCTCAATGCCAGCGGCCATCTCTCCTTGGACGCCCCGCTCGCCTCCAGCAGCACCTTCATTTTCCCCTTGATCACCCCGACCTCACTCTCACACCGGCAATTGGCTTGAGGTTCATCACCTGCCGTGACAGTGCCCACAGACCCCTCTCTGCTGCCCACGCGCGGAAAGCAGCACAGGTAAACTCCCTGGCCCGGTCCGTGGCAGAACCTGCAATCCAGCTGCCCGATATCTGCGACTCCTGTTTTGCGGTTTGTTGACTCCGATCCTTCTCGCATTGTGCCCGAAGCGAGGTCCAGGCGCCGAGATTTTCAACATGTGTTCGTGCTCGGTACATCCTTGCGGAACAGGCAAGGTTTGTTCTTGGTGCACCAACATTTCCTGGCACGGACAAAGTAGTTTGCGGGGAGGGTTTTCCAGGTACATGTGTTTAAGGGTGCTCTCGAGGAGTCAGAGAATAATCTCTTGTACAGCCTTTTTACCAGGGTTAGTGACTCTTGGTGTCTTCAAAAGCTCGGGCCAAGCCGAAATGCTCAGGGAAGGCGCAAGGCTGTGCGCCTTGGGCGATAGTGCTGCCTCAAAGCAATCCTTGTTTTGTGATGATGCTTCCCTTTTTGGCCCGACACATTTGCCGACTTTTGTGCTGAGACACATGTGCAGCCCCATTTTTCCCTTTGGGGAAACATTCATTACATGTTTTGGCCCCATGGAAACATTCGTCATAACCACACTCCTGCTTGTTCCCATTCACCAGTGCCAGATACATGTGGGTGCCAATTCTTGCGTTCTGTCCCCGCCCAGCCGGCCGGCCATGGCAAACCCGCATCCGTTTCCGGATTGCTGCCCGGAGGCGCGAAAGGGTGCCAACACTCTCGGACACGCATGTTGTCAAACTGCCTTGGGACCTTAGCCACACTGCAATCACTTGGGCCTCGCCAATAGCCACCGGAGGGTCAGTGCATCGTCTGTACACGCGGAATTCGGATCGTCTGTACACGCGGGACCGGATCGTCTCTGCACGCGGGCCTTTTTTGCCCCGGATCGTTTGTACACGCAGTGCTTACTGCTATGCACAAGAAGGGACAGGGGCGTTGACAGCTGCATGTTTCCTTGCCTTTCTGTCGTATGAACATAGGAAATGTTGTGTTCCGTTGTCTCCTGTGCGGTTCACGTGAGCGGGTGCGCTTTTTAGGTGGGAGGCGTGAATGCAGTGCTGCGCGAGCGCGCGTGAGCAGGTGCCCCACCCCGGACCCAACCCCCACCCCCACCCCCACCCCCACCCCACCCCCACCCCCACCCCGCCCCCCCTCCCCAATTCCCCACCCGATCTGTTACGCGTGAGCAGGTGCGCTTGCTAGGTGGCAGGCATGTGCGCAGTGCTGGGCGGGCGTGTGTGAGCGGGTGTGCCCCGCCCCACCCCAACCCCAGCCCAGCCCACCCTGAGCAGGCGCTCATTAAGGCGGCAGGCATGTGTTGCACGTGAGTGGGC